TCAGTCGCCACGACAGAAGCTCGCCTAAGAATGGAAGGAGTCGAACTGAAGGAGGAGTGGCAGGATGAGGACTTTCCACGGTATGATCACTTTTGGATCACATGTTTGTGTTTTGAAAGTCGCATAAAACATCATCCCACTGAAGGCATGTTCACCTGCTGTTTGATTTTCAGGCCCCTACCAGAGGAAGAGGAGCTGGAAGATGAGCTTTTTGCAGGAACCTCTGAGGAGACAGATCCTGGTAATGAAAACAGAACGGTGCATTGCTTTACAATATTAAAAGACATGTTACATTTGTTCAAGTCTGTGTTAAAACCCATGTGTCTGTATGTATGTTTAGAGAGTTATTGGTTGCATTAGTTATTCCTGTTCATTCTTGTTCCTGCAAAACTGTATTCAGAAGTTCAGCTGAAACTAATATGAGGCCTTAGCCATCTGAGTCAGCCAACACATAAGAGTTTCTTCTAACAGTCTTTCTTAGTACAGAATCCTCTCAGACTGTGGGGTTTTTTTTGCTGTGGAAGCACAGTAACACAAAGAGAGAATTCCATACTGAAAGACTGTAACATTGGGACATGTCACCTAATTGATTTTAACGCGAACTTAAAAGAATCCTTATATTAGTTTGGCTAAACTCACTGGGTCTCATTCATAAAACGTGAGCAGAACGAATTTGAGTGTGAATTGTTTAGGTGTATTTTGGCGTTCACCAATCTTTGTTGAAGTTTGCTGTTGACTGCTCCAGTAGAGACATGTTGCCCCTGACGGAGAGGACTCTCCAGTGTGCTCATCTACAGCAGAGAGCTGTGACTTGGAAGAGCCTCCTCCTGTAGCTGTTGTGTTTGTGTGTACTTGTGTTTATTGCATCATGATTTATATCAAACCATTTTCATTTAACTTTTTGGATGGCTCTTACAACAGAGGACACAGAGTTAACCGCATCCGTTACCTACTTCCAAGCCTTTGATTTACCTGTCCCTGTCACACCACAAATAATGAAATAACTATGTATAATGAAATATTTTTCTCAACCCCACTTCACCCATAATAACTTAACCGAAATATAACATATCCATAGTAATAATCTCCTCCATATATGGTGGTCACTGGCTATTCATGGGCGGAGATGTATGCTAATTGCTGACTAGCAAGAGTGCGCTGTCAATTTACGTTAGATTGGTATTCAGAAACATACACATGCGCCTACGAAATCTAAGTCAAATCCGAGTTTCCCGCAGGGTTCATGAATCTGGTGTAGGTTTTTACTACCAAGGTTTTTTATGTGCAAATCTGTTCAAAGATTTACACACATTTCATGAATGAGACCAGCTGAGTATTGTATTTTAATAGGCTGGGGGAAAAAACTTACCCCTTAATTGTTCTCACAAACAGTTATGCCACTGATGATTTGACATCTACCCTAGGCTATGCAATGGACCATGGCAAGAAGGCAAAGAAGAAGCTTGCAGCTCCAGACATCAGTCTTACACTGGACCGCAGCGAAGGTTCTCTTCTGTCTGATGAGCTGGATGAAAGCACAGAGCTGGACCTCGATGACATAGACACACCTTCAGACAACAGCAATGAGTTTGAATGGGAAGGTAAGAACTTCATATCATGTGATGAAAATGAAAACAGTGTTAGCACGTAGTATCTTTTAGCCCTGTTTGTTCCTGTTTTGTTAATACTGAAAGTTCAAAGAGTAAAGTTTAGATTGACTTGATAAAGTGGGAGGTGCAAAGATGCGTGGACCCAGATGCAGTCCACACTTGTGTAACATATTTATGAAAAGATTCGCTTTCTTTATTTGTTAGCTTGTAACATAGAAGGAAGTGTGTTATCAGACCAGTCATGTATTTCCTGCTTCTTGGCTCCATTGGCATTTTCCTTTCCTGATTTTACAGCTCTGGGTAGGCAACTCACTGCCTCAAGTGTAGTTAAAATGTGCTTTGTCATTTTTGTGTTTCCACACTGCTGCCTTCCTCTTTTTCACTTGGAAGAATTGTTTCCATTCTCAGCCTGGAAACAGGCTGCAGGCCAGCAACAGGTTTCTCTCTTCCTCGTGGTAAGGTCTCTCGGACAGCACCCATTTCGCTCTGCCAACTATGAGTCGATCAACTCCTATTGTCCAGATTATGTTCTGTCTTCAGTTTGTTGAAACAAATCATTTGGAGGTTTCGTGTTTCATACACCTCATTTTCAGTTGATGTTTTTGTGCATGTCATTTTTCCTCTCCTTGAAAATTTCCCACATTTGAGGAAACAATCAGTAGCAACTTGTTGGTTAGGAAGTGGTTCAGTCTGCACAGTAATGCTGCAGTTATCAGATAGTAGCCATTTTAAAATTTGCTAACGTGCTGTTTGGTTAGCAGTCAGTCAGTGTATGTGTTACATTTTACAAGGTATCACACATCACAGGAAATGACACAGCAAACTAATACATAGCATAATAAATTCATCCTTAAATTGGAGACACATTACGTTTGGCATTTTACCACTTAAGTGTTATGTCATGGGATTTAAAATGACTCATTTGGAAGATGATTTCATAAACATTCTACAGTCATTCCCATGCAAAATATATCTGTATGAGTCATACAGGGCTCTAAAGATGAGACACTAGTCAGTGTGTTTGATTCCGTATATTATGGAAATGGGCCGCTCACAGAGGGATCCTCAATAAAGTGTGTTGTGGTGATTTGGTTGCACTATTCACTTATTTTCTGCTTGTTGCATGCTTGATATACATGATCACTCTTTGCCTCAAGTCTGCTTAATGTGCACATCATGCAGCTACACATCCTACAAAAGATGCACAGAAGTCCTACTGGATTTCAGCAGTGCTTGTTCGACACATTAATTCTCATGCAGGGAACAATAGCAGGGTTTCCCTCAGGAAATTGTATCAGGTATTTGTAAATGCTGACCTCAAATAAAAGGGAGACATGGAGGTTGAGTTTGATTGTTGGTGTTGATTCAGAGAGGAAGCATGCCGTCCACATACAAAAGATAAAAGCAAAAAATGAAATGTAATGTTAATGGTTGTTAATTAAAATGCATGTGATTGAAAAGTTCATTTATGAATTATTGAGTGATCTGAACATTTAGTAAATGATTTAATCAAAATAGATCAGACAGCCAAGGTGTGTCGCATCCGAGCTGTGGGTTTAAAATGCTTCCTCTCCTTTAGACGATCTCCCCAAGCCGAAAACTACAGAACTACTGCAGAAGGGCGTGGAGTCAGTGCAGGAGTACTCCGCCGCGGATGAGAGAGAGGAGGGACGACGCTGGAGGGTGTTTCGTATCGGAGACCAGGAGCACAGAGTGGACATGAAGGCCATTGAACCTTACAAGAGGGTTATCAGCCATGGAGGTCAGCAGCATTAAATTTGGCACACACACATAAATACAGTCATAAGTGAGTTTATTTGAGATGATCAGTCTGTGTTTATTGAAAATATGAAGTAAAAAAGATTTTGCCTATAAAAATAGTGTTTTGGTATTAAAATATAAATTTTTGATGTTTGATTTTTCACTGCAGGTTACTATGGAGATGGCCTGAATGCCATAATTGTGTTTGCTGTGTGCTTTATGCCTGAGAGCAATCAACCAAATTACAGATACATCATGGACAATTTATTCAAGTGAGTGTTTATTTGATTTCCCCTGGCCTCGTGAGCTAACGTGTCACAACCAGCGCTAATGAAATTTTCCCTGATTCCCGCAGATATGTCATCGGCACACTGGAGCTTTTGGTCGCAGAGAACTATATGATTGTGTATTTGAACGGGGCAACCTCTCGGAAAAAGATGCCGACCGTCGGCTGGCTCAGAAAGTGTTATCAGCAGATTGATAGGAGGTGAGTGTCAGTTTACGACAGACACAGAGATAACAGGCCAAGCCCAAGATTAAAATGTCCTCTCACTCTTTTTGTCCAGGTTAAGGAAGAACTTGAAGTCTTTGATAATTGTCCATCCCTCTTGGTTTATTCGTACCCTGCTGGCACTCACAAAACCTTTCATAAGGTAACTTTATGATTAAGGTAGCTAGAATATTAAAAATAAATATCTTCTCCGCTAACTGACATTTCCTGCTTCTTCTCTTTTTACAGCTCCAAATTTAGTCAGAAAATCAAGTATGTGTTCAGCTTGACAGACCTCGCAGAACTAGTTCCAATGGAGTATGTGTCCATACCAGATTGTATCAAACAGTAAGTATGCGCCACTCAAATACATCAGCACTTTTTAAGTTCTTTTAAAAGAAGAGAAAGGTCCTGTCAAAAGAAAAAGTAGTGTTTGCAAGCTGATAAATACAACTACAAGGAATCAATCTAGAAATCTGGTGATTTGACCCTCAGATTTTTATACTTAAGTGACAGTGTTAATGCTCAATTGTAACACTAATGAAAAAGAAAAAAAAAATATATATATATATATATTCCTTTGATGTGGCCTGCTGTTTTCCCTTTAATTGGTTTCCAAATTCTCACAGGTTTTCTAGTCATGTTCAGTGCATACACAGTGTCAGCTCTGACTGATCCTGCAAACTGTAGTTGCATTTCCTCTGTAGGTGGTGCTACAGCAACACTCTGCTCTTCCTGTGTGGCCAGTGTAGACAAGATGTCGGTGGTTATGAGTCTGACTCACTTGAAACTTTGCACAATTCATCTTCTTTTAAAGCCCTAATATTTAGGAATCTACAAAATCATAGATGCTTTCTGCCCGTAACCATGATTCTTTTACTCACACTGTGTGTATCCTGATAGAGAAGAGATCCAAAAGCAAACTGTAAATATCTAAATGTTTCTTTTGTGCAATACACATTTAAAGCATAGTGTAGCTTTATGCACTGTCTGAGTTCTTTTAACAAGTGTCAACATTACTGAAAAAAACTGCTGCTAGATCAGCAATTGAAGAACACATTTGTCATTTTCTCGTGTTACTTTTGCTGATTCACACAACTGTTGAGCTCATCTTATCAAATGTTTTTGCTCTTTTGGATATCTGGTGTCTGTTGGCTGTGTTATTCTCCTTTCCTTGACTCCATTTCCCTGCCCCCCCCCCATCTTAAGGTTTGATGACGAAAAAAATAGGAAAAGCCGTAAAAGGTATATGCACTTTCACCCAGGGTCAGTCTCAGCCTTTTTTTTGTTTTGTTTTGCATTTCACAAAACTAACAAGGAAATGATCCATTGGCTTTCAGAAATGCACCAATACACCTCATTGTGTCCCACATGTTATTAGTCGGATGATTACCTTCTGGCCGAAATCAGCAACTTTCCTCTTCCAAAATGTCCCACATTTCCCTCTCAGTTGATTTCGGATGTTCTCTTCAAAGCAGGCTGAGGAGCTGGTTGATTGGTTTCCAAAAATAGGTGGCTTGGTGATTGTTTAACTAACTGAATCCCATTTCTGAGCCAATTCTGTGAAGTTCATTTCAAAGTCAACTCTTGTTAAATTTGTTCTCTATTTATTATCTCACAATAATATCAGCTATCTGAATTTGGTTTTAAATGTACCTGTGTAGCCCATTTTATAGCCCAGGTACTGTCTTCACTGTGATGCTGAATTATTAATTTATGTGAAGAACAATTTAGAATAGTTTTAAGATAAATTATTGCATTTCTGATTTCTGATACTAAAGTTGGGGCATCAAGTGGCACTTACCTGCATGTGTCTCTTTAAAAACCAGGTTTAGAATGTGATGTGGTTGATGTTGGGTAAGTGTGTTCATGTTTGTGGAACAACAGGGAAATAGGTTGTCCTAGTCACTGTGGTTTTGTGGTTGCACCGTAACCATGTCCTCACATGGTCTCCCCCCCACCCCCCATTCAGTAACTCGCCCTCACTGAACACTCGGCTTGTCCACTCTCACAGCTCTTTGCATGACTCACTGCAAACCCACTCCCAGCTGATGTTTAGCAATCGCCACAAACCTTCTGTCAGCCTGGCTCATGCACACAGAAATCTTCTGTTCATTACTGAGAAGTAGTGGGCGTGAGGTTATTAAGCTGCAGATACGTCGTGGCATGTTAGAAGATTAGAAAAGTAATAACCACGGGGTTGTAGAGGAGACTCGGTATTGCGTTTACAACACTGCTACAACTAGTTGCACTTCTCTTGCTGGGTGCATGAAGTTGAGCGGCAAACTTGCAAGACAAATGCGCTGAAACCTCACACATTGACATGGAAAAATTGCACATTTTAAGCACAAAGGTTGCACTTATCTGTGCTGCAGATAATGAACGCAGCCTGTTCTCTGACATTGATTCAGGGCTTCTTCACTACATATTACAATTACACAGTAGTGCGTTTGTCTTGCAAGGTTTCAAGGGAAGTAATAACCTCATAATAATATAACTGATATTGGTGGTTTGTATTGCCCAAATGTTTACAGTGCTGTCAGTAAAAAGAGCATGGATCATATTAGGCAGAATTTGCATCCAGTTAGTGAAGTATGCTGAACATCTGGTAAGTAAAAAACAAAGAAATAGAAATGCTCTCTCACTCTAAGAAACCCCTTTGTAGTGGTGTAAAGGTAATGATTACATAGCAGGATATGAATATGTGAACAATGTGTTAATAAGCAGTGTAGTAGCCTGTTGGTGCTTTGATCATTAGTTATCATAGCCCTGTTGGACGGCACCCCAATCACACAGATGTCTGACGGCTGTCGAATCTGTCCGCAGAATCGACCAGGACATGCACGGCAAAGTGGAGGTCGCAGCTGCTGCTGTTCCAGAGTGACCCTGCTCGCACTGCATGATGTGGAGGCGGAGAATATTTTCCAGCAGCCACTCTTTATGTTTATGTTCTGGGCAACGTGACTGAAGCGCTTCACATCAAGAAAGTGCCTTTTTAAAACTGTGCTGCCTGTTACATTGTGGAACTTTTTACAAGCTTGATCTTCAGCATTTTTTTCCCAAATGCTGGCTGAAATGTTTTTAATCTTTTCTTTAATTTTTTTTTTTTTTTATCTACTGCTGGTATATCATGTCAAACTTAGTTACTTATTGGTGTTCCCTAGTTCCTGGTGTAATCTACACGTTATTTAAGGCACTCTGTTACAAATGGTTGATGCATGTTCTGCTTTATTACATTTAAATATATATTTATATTCAAAAGGTGACAAAGGAGAGAAATTAATATATTTTTATGGTTGCTCTGATTTTTAAACTGCATTTTAGGTTTCTGACCAGTCGAGTGGCATTTCATAGAACAAGTTTTTGACAGCACCTTTTTTTTTTTNTATATTTTTATGGTTGCTCTGATTTTTAAACTGCATTTTAGGTTTCTGACCAGTCGAGTGGCATTTCATAGAACAAGTTTTTGACAGCACCTTTTTTTTTTTTTTTCACTGTTCACTGCTGACGATCTCAATCAAAATCCTGCCTGGGGGGAATATTGTTTAATGTTTTACCTCTCACCTGAATGTGCCCTCTGACTCGTGGAGGGGAAACATTTGTGAGAGCAACAATCTGAAGCAAAGATGTTAGGTATTAATGTTACATTTTCTCCAAGTAAAGTCATGGATCCACATCATTGTTTTGTATGATTTTTTTTTTGTTTGTTTGTTTTTTTTGGTCACAGTTTTCTAGTGGTTACAAAAGAAATATTCAACATTCACATAATAAATACCAAACTTTGCTTTGTACACCTTCCACTTACAGTCTACTAGATGGCATCACAAATACAGATTAAATTGAAATCTCATGAATAAAGGACAGGAGTATTATCAGAAATTACAACATCCTTATTAATAACTTGACAATAATATAAAAATGTTAAAAACGTATAAGAGAATACAGAAGATCACAACAATATACTAACAACAGCCACAGAATAATTTATATACATATCTAATACATTATAGACCAGTTCAAACTTGACAATGTAAACATTGTAAATCAAATA